ACACACACACACACACACACACACACGTTTAATTTACAATGTAAAAAGTCTCACACACAAAACACAAAAGCAAAAGACAGGGGTACAAACACAGGGCAAAGCACATCTGAGCAATTACACTTGATCGACACATTACAGCACAAAAACACACAACAAAAGTGAAAATTAAGCAGATACATTTTAAGATATTCCTATATGTGTCCTTTCATGTCATAATATATTTGATAAAAATTAAACTAACCATTTTAAAAGATATTATCTCTTAGCATAATATCACACTTAGGGCTGCATTTTCAAAAGTTTTTCATTACACCTTTTAAAACTAAATTTTTCCATATTTTGGTGAGATAAATAAATAAATACCACTATTACTATTGGCAATTGATTTGGGGGGTTGTTCTGTGGTATTAGTTGTTTTTTCTTCCACTAAAACATCATATGATATTTGACAAAATAACAAAAATTATTACTAGAATATTTATCAAATAAAACAAAAAATACAAGAATACTAATTTTAGATAATTGACAGATATAATATTATTAATATTAATTCCAGCAATAGTTATGAGCAATAATTCCTGTAGGGGAGCTTGGCTGTATCAACACCAGGGTTGTGTTTTTTATTTGTCTCTCTGTTAATACATTTAAAAGTGAATATAGTATATACAAAAGAACTTTTGAAATTAGAGTGAAGCCAATTTGATTAAAAACACATTAAAAGTAGAAACCAAAACCACAGAAACTACACAGCGAATGTAAAATCACTGCCCACATAAGGTATATAGCACATTAGTGCACATCATGGACAGATTGCATCCCCTTTCCACATCCCTAGGGTTTGTGCTTGGTGCTCTGGGACAGAGACACTGTCTTCCGCTGGGATGCGCTCAGCTGAGCCATTTTTCCTGTTTTCCCTTTCTTATAAACTCGTTTAATGCTGTAGGCTGGAGTATTTGGGGTCACACACCAACCTCCAGCTCCAAGAGATAAATACATCCAGCCAGTTGTTGTTATCGGAGTTGCACTCATTGAGTTTATTCTAACTGCTGCTCTCTTAATGAAACATTTCGGACCTGATCTGAGGTCAGTTTGGGACCTATTAGAACCTCAACCATGATAAGCCCAATAAATATCATCCCTTTGCTCATAATTCAATCTGCACCGTAATAAACAATTTAAAATATAATAACAGCAGTTTCATGCACTAAGCAACAGTGGAAAAAAATGGGCTGTGGTATTCTTTTCACCCATTTTCTGAGCCGCCAAACAGAAAAACGAAAACTTAACAAGCACCACTAATTAAAGTTGTGGATTGAACGGATGTCTTGAGTGTATCCATCTGAAATTTAATAAACTGAAACCCTAACAAAAAAAAAAAAAAAAAAAACAGAGGCTTACTGTCAATACAAACTGTAAATCTGTACTTTCTGTCCTTCATCCAAATGCAAACAGACCTCCTGATAGCGCTTGATGCCGCCAGCACGCGGCTACAGACCCCAAGAGACCGTCACAGCTTATCACACCATATTCATCCACGACCGTAAATCACCACATCATATGTTCTCTTCTTCCATTCAGATCCAACAAATTTCCCTGGACATCTAAATCCTTGACAGGCTAAATGGGACACTGATTGGATTGGTCGGATGTCTAGATAAATACTTCAAGAGTCTTTGTAAAGCATGTCAGTGTGGGCTTGGTCTTGCACAGATGGGCTCGGGGAAAACTAACGCTAAAGCAAAACTCCACCAAGAGAATCTACAGCCATAAAACATACCGATAATCAAAACCACCCTATTTCTTAATTTTTAAGAGCTTAAGCGAATGAGGTAGAAATGGCATTCTGAGACCATTTTTGTCATAGATTATTCTGTGTTCGAGTTATTATTCGAGTTCTCGGTCGTCAGTAATCCAACGTGATGGATGTGGTGTCAAAAGTGGGATTTTCCGCTGCATTATGTCAGCAGGATTTAAAGGTGAATGTGTACTGACAATGCGAAGAATACACAGTGTGCATTAAAGCCTTCATTTTTTAACAACAACTGTATGCTTTTGCCATGTTTGTCAAGAAGAAAGAGGCTTAGCCATGGACAAAATAAACATTTGAGAGATGGACCAATCACAGACACCAGAATGTTTTTTTTTTTAAATGCATTGGTTTGTATTCTGAAGACATTTGTATTGGTATCCAAAACCATAATGGACAATATTGAGTAAACTCATTGAGTCCCATAATGCACCTCAACAGTGTACAACCAATGTGCGCTCAACAGTTGGCTGCTAGAAAATACCCATGCACAAATGAATTTCCACTCATTTTCTGAATTCAATCTCTTGTTTTCATTCACTTATTCAATGGACATATTAGTGAAGTAATGTAGGGAATAGTGAGTGAGAGTATACGGAAGCTAAACTTAAGGCTTAATTAGCAGTTTAGCAGTTTTCATCTAAGATGGTGGATAAAGAAATTTTGACTATAAATGTATAATTTATTCAATATTGACAAGCAATGAAATTGTTTGAGATTGTTCTTTACCCAGCATTGTACTGTGTATCCCTGTTGAAAAAAAGAGCATATGCTGGTTAGGTATGTTTTGACGCTGGGATGCTGGTTTAAGCTGGTCCTTTGCTGGTTTATGCTGGTCATGTGCTGGCAAAGGACCAGTATAAACCAGCAAAGGACCAGCTTAAATCAGCAAAGGACCAGCTTAAATCAGCAAAGGACCAGCATAAACCAGCAAAGGACCAGCTTAAACCAGCATCCCAGCGTCAAAACATACCTAACCAGCATATGCTGTTTTTTTTCAACAGGGATGCTTTTTGAGGTATCATGGTATTAGCTTAGCAACATGCTAACAACAAACTCCACTGGAATCTCCATGTAAGAAACAATACTATATTCTCAGTAGTATCTCAGAGTACCATATAAAAACTATAGTACATGAATATCCCTTATGAAAATTAACCATGGTTTATTGTAGTAAAAGTGTAGTAGCCATGTTTTTTGGTGTATTGATTACCATTTGTATAATCACTGTTTTACTACAAATACCATGGTTAAACTATGGTTAGTGTAGCAAAGTGTACCAAGTTTAACTATAGTAACCATGTTTTTTTGGTTTTATTCGTAGTAAAACCATGGTTAATTTGCATATGGGATGCTAATCATCAGTACCAAGGTACAGTAGCAGTCCCATATTTAAGAATCTGTCCTTTTGAATTTAATGTATCTGGCTCTGTGCATAATTTTTATCCTCTGCATTCAATTAAACCCCACCACAGTAATTTCTGCAGATGGAGGGATGGGTTAAAGGAATGAGGGAGGGCACAGGTTAGTGCTTTAATTAATCTCTGCTTCATCTTTTACTCTCTCCGCACCACTGGAGAAGTGACTTAAAGGGCCAAAGCTCACAGACGGTTCCGACAGCTAAGCGTTATCTCTCAGCAACTCGCTCACACATACTGGATGGAGTTTAAGATTTTGTATCAACACACTATTAATAAAATGTAGACTTGTGTGTGTGGTTATTGTCGGAGGCTTGCAGAGGCTTACTGCATATTTCATCACAGTATAATAAAGTGCGGGTCTACATGATCTGTCAGGGTCCCTGTTCACAAATTAACCAACCTCATCTTGCTCCTTCTGATGCCATTTTTCGTTTCTTCCTCTTGCAAACCAATTGGGATGGGATGAGTAGGCAGAAAAGACTTTGTATTTTGAATCAGTTTGAACTGTCTGATTCATTCAAATGAATAAGGGGCCATTCACACAGAATGCGTTTTTCCATTCCGATGCACTACTTTTCCATTGTTTTTCTATGTAAACATGCACTAGATGGACCGTATGACCATTGCACTCGCGTCTTGCCTCTTTTGCAGCGCAATGACTCCTTCTGTGTGAATGGCCCCTAAAACTTCCCAATTCCCAATTAGCAGCCAATTCAACAGAAAGAAGTAAATGCAATCCAATTTATATGCTAAACTCTTGATGTTAAATCCGCAGTAACTCACCGTGCTCCAGATATGACGGCGTTCCCTCCGACGGGTCCAGTCGCCGAGCTCTTCTGCCATGTTTCGAGTTGTTGTGCACGAACATATTGTCTGAAACAGCCAGAACATGTCCATCTACGCTTACTGTCGTCGACACAACCACCTGTAAAGAAAGGTTATGGGCATAAATGACAGAAAAAGAGTTTTATTTTGTCACTTTGAAGTAACGTGTGTCATTTTTGTGCCATTAGCGGCAACAACTGGAACTGAAGCCTCACCTCACCTCACCAGCGGCGCTGCGATTAAAGCACTCACAGTCTCTAATCATTTCCATGCTGTACACTAATTAACACCGCATACAAAACACACTTCTCTGCCTATCCCACAATGCCCCGCTCTCTCCGATTGATTGCTGATAGAGGTTGTCTCGGATTAATTAAATTAAAAAGCGGGCAGTACTTGTGCGCCCTGAGACAATGCGAAGAACGTAATAAGTGTTAGAGGTTGCCATTATGAGTGGCACAAATGGGCCCTCTAAAGCTGCAGAGGCCCCCTGGTACCCCACATAGAGCCTCTTATTTCAATTGCTGTTGAGCTTTGAGAGGAAATTCTGCCTCTTCAAAGAAGAAAGGACTTGGTGAAGAGAGGTAAGTCTCTAAGGGACGTGGCTAAGCATACACTTACACTCTCATTTTATTTTCTCTCCCTATCTATCTCCATCGTTCACTATCTCTTTTTTTTACTGCTCACAGTCTTTGATGCTTAGAGGTGGGATTCCCCTTAATATCTCAATTGTTGCTCCTAGACAGCAATGAAATGGACATTAAAGAGACACTTCACCCAAAAATGAAAATTACCCTATGATTTACTCACCCTCAAGCCATCCTTGGTGTATATGACTTTCTTCTTTCAGACAAATACAGTCAGAGTAAAAAATATCCAAAAATATCCTTTCTCTTCCAAGCTTTATAATAGCAGTGAATGGGTGATGAGATTTTGAAGCCCAAAAAAGTGCATCCATCCATCATAAAAAGTACTCCACATGGCTCCGGGGGGTTAATAAAGGCCTTCTGAAGCAAATCGATGCATTTGTGTGAGAAAAATTTCCATATTAAAAACTTTATAATAAGTAATCTCCAGCTTCCTCTAATTGTAATACGCACGTTCACAAGAGAGTGGCGCTCCAGTGTATGACGTAGGCGTAGTGTTATGGTTTATAAAGTTTTAAATCTATATATTTTTTATAACATAAAGCATTGATTCACTTCAGAAGGCCTTTATTTACCCCCCGGAGCTGTGTGGAGCACTTTTTATGATGGATGGATGCACTTTTTTGGGCTTCAAATATCCACCCCCTATTCCCTGCAATTATAAAGTTTGAAAGAGCCAGGATATTTTTTTTAGTATACCTCTGATTGTATTTGTCTGGAAGAAGAAAGTCATATACACCTAGGATGGCTTAAGGGTGAGTAAACCATAGAGTAATTTTCATAACTGGGTGAACTATCCCTTTAAATCTCCTGCTTCTCAGATTTTTCTCCTGAGAAGAGTATTTTGGTCATCACATGTTTCTCCTCTAAAGTTTAAAAAGAGACCTGAACTAAAATAAAAGCTCAGAGATCTTAATACGAGCTCAAATATTTCTCACTTCCAAGATCACATCTGACCAATTAATTTGAGCTAAGCAAAGTACATCACATTTACATCTCTGTTCTCTTGCTGAGAACATCTTATCTCAACATGTGTCTTATTTGTTGTTCTCCTATAAGGAATTTTAGAAGAAACATCTGAGACTGCAAGCGGCCACCGCACTACGACATCACATTGTGTATGTGTGTGATGGAAAGTCTCTCTCCTGCATTCTTGCATGCTCGCTGAGTAAAATATGACTGCTAATTACACAATCACTGTGAGCTCACTCGTAGAGTGCCGCAGATGATTCTTTTATAGACAGCTGCTGAGATAATATCTTACTTCAACACTGAATACTGATTCAAAACGGGCTGATATTTTGGAGCCAACTAAATAAAACCTATAGGTAGTTTTGAGTCCACTTCAAACATTCTGTTAACTAAAGTCACTTTGCAGCTACATGTCGACTTATTCTACTAACAGAACATCAGCAGAAAAGAAAATAAGACCAGACCTACAGGCTGTAGGCACCACCACAATGACAACTTTTGTACCTTTCTTTCTAAAAGATTTTAATACGAAAGTTAACAAAGTCAAGTTATGTTGTTTTTAAAGATCCATTTCTGATGATTGTTAGAACAGTGTGAGGACCAAATTAACAAGTAGTGGCAAGAGACAGTGAAAGAGTGTGTGTGTGTGTGTGTGTTTGTGTGTAAGAGTGCTTGTGAAAGCAGCTAGGGCCACATACCAATGAATGACTGGAGGTCAAGGTCTTGTGTTTCTTGCAAAGCAGTGAAAGGTTATTTACTCAATGTCTCACACTCAAACACACGCGCACTGCGTGAGTGACACTGTTGTGCAATTATGCAGAGTGTGTTTACAGGCTCGGAGCCAGATTTGTAATACCATCAAATGCTGAAGAGAGTAAAACTAATGAGAGCACAATTATTCCAAATATTCTACACTGGTATACAAAAACATCCAGAACCAGACCAGATCAGCAAAAGTAGACTAAGAGAGTTGGAAACACTGAGTTAGAAGGATGGATGCTTGGAAAGTGAGCAGACGTAATGAACTAATGAATGAAAAGGTTAAAAGCGAAATGGTTTACCTGAAAGCGCCGCATGTCGCGTGGATTTCCTGCATTCTTCAGGCAGTTCTGATTGCATTTCAGGAAAAACTTGAGAAAAAATCTGCAAAAGGAGAAAAATTATTAGTTAGCGGTGGACTGAAGGAATCCATTGAATGTTCTGAAAAGCTAAGACAGAATAGATAAACATTTAAACACTGTAAATAGGCCTGTTGACCAGTTCACCAAACCTCTGACAGTGAAATTAGACGTCCAATTAGGACCAAAAATGGTGATTCTGACGCCACAGGAGAGCCTTTGTAAGTTCCACAAAGATCTTTTGATTCCAGTTCTTAAGAAAACATCAATACTGGTACCTTAAAGATCCCTGTAAATAGTTTGATGAGCGCAATTTTCTTATAACATACTTCTTGTTAAAACAGCAACTAGGGGTGGGACATACAATAGTCTTTGCCTTTTTTATAGCGAATAGCACACTTGAAGTGCATTTTATGAACCTTTAGAAGTACAGTGCCATATCAATGACATTAAAGTTTATAGACACACAGTAAAAGCATGTTTTTAAATTCTCAATTGAAATATATTGTTTTTGAGGGATATAAGTATTTAGCCATAATATTATATTAATGAATTTCTTAGGGGAAAAAACACTTAAGAAAACCTCATCAATAATCATATGTTGCAACAGCTAAATAACAAAAACAAAACCAGCAAACAAACAAATAGAAAATTCTATCTAAATATAATATATTCTAAATATATCTTACACAAGCCACTTGAAGACCCTCAAGATTGTGTGTCAAGGTCAAAAAGTCTTGCAAAATATTAGATAATTTAAGCTATATATATATATATATATACACATACATAAATAAATTAGTATATAGATTAGTAACTCACCATTAAATAAAACTCTTTACCATGAGACATATATTTACTTTTTTCCCAATAATATTAATACTTTTGTCCAGATAACGAAATGTCTGAATAACCCTATACTACACAAAAGGTTCTTGATTTATAAAAGGTTACTGAACTGAAGAACCACCATAAAACATTTTTAAAGAGACTTTTACACATCCTTAAAGTTCAGTAACACAAACACATGCACAGACAAACACACACAGCAACAGGCAGTGTGCTGAAATGTGGAGCGTCCATCTGTCGCACTGGGAAATGCTGCTAAGACAGCTCAAAGACACACACACACACACAGAGTCCCATCCAAACCGAAAAAACCTGCCTGTCTCTCTCGTAATCATGGTAAGCAGAAAGCAGGCACATTCATGGGCACTAGCACAAACCCTTCACTCACAGACTGGCATTAGAGCTGTAACAGCACAATACCAGCTGCTCTGACTGGCATACAAACAGTGTGTGTGTCTAACTGGATAATGCCATGGCACATACCCGTCTGTCAGGACCTTTTTTCTCATGTATTTCTCTCTTGCCTCTTTGTTTGCATTTCTGTCTGTCTCTTTTGTCAATATGACACTGAATGTGCTATTCTTTCTATAACTCTGTTTCAAACACACCCACGATTGCTCTGTTCCAAAAGCATCATTGCGACACAAAGGCTGTTCCAAAAGGTTGGTAACGTAATTATGCTGCCTAGTAAGACACCTCATTTTAGCCAAATTTGAAGGCAGCGTCATATGTATCCTTTACAAAGAAAGCAATCCAAGAATGCACTGTTAAAACGATACTCATAATTCATTCAAAACTGTCAAGAACGTGCAATTTGTGAATTAATTAAAAGTGAAGTTAGAAAATCTGTTTGCAGATGCCACTTAGATTTAATATAATGGTACTCTGGCATAAAGTGTGACTTAAGTGTCCAAATACACTGTAGATGTGCATTTGTGTGTGTATATCCATTTTGATATTTGACTCAGGTTAATATCAGGAGGCTGCTTAATACTTTTGACCTAATGTGGCTCGACAAGCCCAGTTATATGGCAAAGAGCACTCAGCTGTGTGTGTATCATCTCATGAACACACACTCACAGTCATCCTACAGTTCCATAATTGAAAGGACCTTGCTGTCGTCTTCAGTGAAGGGCACTCCAATGAAGGCCAATTACTAGAGGGGTTGAGTGTGGAGCCGTACCTACTTACACGAGCTAACAGTGAGACACCTGTGACCTCTCTAGAACAGATCACAATACACCACCGCTGATGAATTCAGGAGGAAAAACAGGAGGATACACCGAATAAAACAAACCTCCTTAGAGTAAAATAATGGATGGGAATGAAGCAGTTCTTCTGTTTCTGTTTTAATTCAGGGTCTTAATTTCTGCACATTCTGTTGCCTGGATCGATTAATTCATTTTGTGTAATTAATTTATACAATGACTTGTATAGCCTCTTCTATGCTTAGTATGTTTTTAAATAATTTTTCTTTGACATATCAAATAATTGGTTATGACAAGCCAAGGCTAGTTCAGGTTGTAGGTCACATCTGGAGCATGAACAACACGATGAATAAACACTCTCACACAAAAGTAAAAATGAAAAGTGTGACAAAGTGTGGCAAAGAATCTACTAGCCATGAGTTTCTTAACTTAAAACCAATTTCAATCCTATTTGTATTTTGTCTGCTGTAGAAAATTAAGATTATTCTATTCTATTCTATTCTATGTGAACATGGACCACAAAACCAGTCATAAGTAGAATGGATTTATTTGTAGCAATAGCCACAAATACATTGTATGGGTCAGAATTAATTTTTCTTTTATGCCAAAAATCATTAGGATATTAAGTAAAGATCATGTTCCATGAAGATATTTTGTAAATTTCCTACCGTAAATATATGTAAAACTTAATTTTTGATTAGGAATATGCATGGCTAAGGACTTCATTTGGACAAATTTAAAGGCGATTTTCTCAATATTTTTTTATTTTTGTGCACCCTCAGATTCCAGATTTTCAAATAGTTGTATCTCGGCCAAATATTGTCCAAACAAACCATACATCAACGGAAAGCTCATTTATTCAGCTTTCAGATGATGTATAAATCTCAATTTCCAAAAATTGACCCTCATGACATTGTGGTCCAGGGTCACATATTATCAATCCAGTCATTTAATTGTGATTAGTAGATCAATAAATACAAACATCTATTTTAAACTAAATTCAAATGTCACTTTTTAAATAGTGCAATGTTAATAAAAGCATGAATAAAAAGGCAAACTAATAGCCATGAATTCCTTTACTCAAAACCAACATCAATCTAATCCATATTTTTTTCTTTAGTAAATGAATATTATATTATATTATATTAGTATACGCTCTTCTCAGTCATTTCACAATTATTTAATTGACTGCAGCTGTCATGATCGATTGATCAATAAATATAAACGTTTTAATCACAATTCAAAATTCTCTTTGTAAAAATAACAGTGCAATGTTGGTAGTATTGTGTGTCTATAATGAGTATAATTTAATAGAGAAGGAGACTATGTTGAAATGAATCACAATGGCATAATTTAAACACTCACGGCGCAGAGTTATTTCAGGGCGTTTAGTTCCTGGCTAAACTGGATTGCGAGTGGTTGACGATGAAGAAGCAGGTTTTTGCATTTCCTGAAATTCAGTAGGGCTGATATCATGATGAGGGAAGCTTTTGCATGAGGTAATCTAATTTGGTTACTAAATGCAAAACAGCGGCCATAGCTGCCTGTGCCATATTCCTGTATGGTGCGAGCCACACCAAGAGTAAATGAGCCCATGTGAACAGCACAGCAGCATAAATTATTCACGGGCTGAGATGGCAATTATGGCTCTGAGCACAACCAACATTAATATTTTATGAGGGCTAACGCACACTTCCAAGTGAATCAGAAAGAGAGAGAGAGAGAGAGAGAGAGAGAGAGAGAGAGAGAGAGAGAGAGAGATTGGGAGAGGGGGGTCTTCCCTATCCACTTTCTTTGTGTTTTTTGGGTCTCTCTCGCCTTGAACTCACTCACTTGGGCTCTTCCTCTCTCAGCCTCACCAACTAATCTATTCTGCATGATTTAAATTATATCATTCACTATTGCCCAAGTCCCTATAAAGTGTTATTACACACTTATAACATAGTAATAAAGCAGTTATACCATGCATTCACTGCAAATATTGTACATTTCTGAGCATTTACACAGTTTTGTTTTATAGCACCGGCATGTGTACATAAAATTACATGCTAATAGAATTTAAACATGAAAAATACGCTTAAATTTGACCAGATCAATCAATTTGTTGAATACTGTAGAATTGGCTCCTGATGTAGTGGTGAGAATTCAATGCTGACAGCAGCAGTCACATGATACCACTATTGCAACAGTGTCAATACCATCATGCCAAGAGAAATACTAGGCATATTCTTGTGTGAGTTTACATATGTGTGCAATTAAAAAAAGAGGTGATTATGTTTTATTTGGCATGTTATGTTAGTTAAAGGGAATGCAGAATAGTGCACCCATATGATCCCAACTTGTTCTCTTACACACACTCTCTAGACTCTAAAACTAAGCCAAAACTGTAAATGATGCCACTATCAGTTATTAAATAATATCAGAGTTACTAAGTAGTCTGTAATCTAATGAGTGAAATATCACATATATCACACATCATGCGCTAAAAGTAATCAATAAATATTCTCACTGTTAATGTTAAGGCTTAGTTCACCCAAAGCTGAAAACTGTCTTCATTTACTCTAAACCCCTATGACATATAGTTTGCAAAACTCGTTCTCTCTCATAAGATATGTTGGGCCAAGTCTGATGTCATTGTCATGAAATATCATTGATTCTGCATTATCAGTGTGTCAAACCTGGTGGGACGCATTTTGACCAACCGTATTTTAATGTATGCAGATCATTTGAACTTTTTTGGTGCTTTTTAAACGTTTTCGGTATTTGACAGCTCCTTGCTACTTGGAAAAGAGCAGCGTGAACATTTCTCATAACATTTCCTCGTGTGCTCCAAGGCAGAAAGTAAGTCACATGGGTATCGAATGACATGAGGCTGATTTCATTTTGCAATTAACTATTCCTTTTAATGCCAGTTCCATGACTCAAAAAGGGTGTGACACGATTACTAGATGTGATGTCATTCAAACGG